ATAAACACGCATTTAAATGGCACTGAGAGGGCTAATACTGAAATAACTGAAAGGAAATAAGGAACATGAAAATATAGACTTAACATTAGGAAAATGGTCTGAGCAGATCCTGTAACTACTTCTAGGCAATTAAATGCTATGCTAATGGAAGTTTCAGAAAGATTTTCTCAGACTAGTAAGATCAGGCTGTATGTCAATCTTGTAAAGAAAGTTGTAGAAGCAATGTGCAATTGGGACTAGAACAGAGAAAATGAGCCAGGAAGCAGCTTTTTGGATGGACTTAGAAGACACAACAAGATTTTGCATCTCAAAAATCAATATTTATAAAGGTAAATGCTTATAAATTTCTTCCTAGCGGAAAGCCAATATTTTGAGAGAAATGTGCACTTTCATCTAACACTGAAATAAAAATGAAGATGGAAACAATACAGTGGTATCAATCAATATACAATAAACCCTCCAACTGTCAGGGATTGTGCAATGAAATAAAAGTTTCAGCCTCTCTTTTACCCCCAAAGTCTCATTAATGAAAAATTATAAAACATTGTTTTATTGGAAACATAGGAAAAATCTTCGACTGAAATTGTCATTGATTCTATCAACTTAGCAACACTGTATTTGACTTGAAATAACACTAGAAATTCTAAGCTTATCAGAACCACTGGTTCATCATCAAAAAGATACTGCAAACAAATGCATGTATTTAATTTCTTCAAAATAATTTAAAACCCCCACATTTCTTTGAGCGTGTATTTGTGTAAGGAGGATGGAAACCACTGCAGTTCCATTCTACTGACTTCTATTAAAGAGACAGCATACAGTAGTAGAGTATTCCCACTAAAGGGATGTCTCATTGGACCGAAAACACGGCTAACCATCATAATCATGTCAGGTGAAATCTGCTTTGCACTAGGAACTACTAATGGCAAAGTGCTGATTTGTCTCTGTCTGTCCAGAGGACAGTAATTTAACAAATCATCTACTTTATATGAATAAACACTTTGCTCCTCTTTACACTGGTCCTTGAAAGCAGAAAACTCATCAAGAAGGATACAATTCAATGAGAATATCCTAAAAGAGTTCAAAGAAATTGGATGTGAATTGGAGATAACAACAACATCTTGCCTCAGGCTGGTACCTGCTATTTCTTCCCTGCCATTTCCACCACCCCCTTCTACAGGGTATAAAAACATACATTGGTTTATATTGCTCTTCTTTTTGAGACATTAATTTACACTATGTGTGGAGTTTCCCTAAATGTCTTCTGAGCATTTCTGAGCACTTTAGATGGATGGACCACGCCAAAGCCATATGAAACATTCAGTGTCAAAAGGGAAAGCAAAGGTAACAGCTGTAACTCTCAATGGCTCTGTTAGAATGCTTCAAACCAGCACTGCTTGGAGCACCCTGAAAAGTACAGGGTGTTTTTGAAATTGCAAATAGATCAGAGTTTAAGAAGGCCAAAAGATGTAAAAGAGGCCAATATACCACCAGTTTTGTTGGTTTCAGTATAGTTCAATATCAATGTTGATAAGTATCACTGTACCCATTATTATAAGGCTTTTGACCAAATAACACTGCAGAAAAGTAAATTTAAGATACTAGTGTGTAACAGCAAAATGACAACCAATGTTGCAATGCTACCACGTAACAATATGTTCCAATAACAGTTTTTAAATAAAATTACCTTTTTGTGTGTGTGTGATGTACCTTTTTTGGATTACGCATTTTTTACATTTATACATAATTGCAGCTGGTTTCAGTAGACTACCTTTAATAACAGTGATAATTACAAATACAAAAAGAAAGCAAAACTATTAATAATTTATGCTCACAAAATTCTTTCACTCTGAAGATCCTGAACAAACAGTAATTAATTTAGCCTCACAATACCCCTGTGAGGTAGGTAATTACTATCAGCCCCATTTTACAGGTGGGGAAACTGAGGCACATACAGGTTAAGTAACTTTCCCAAAGTCTGGGTACAGAATCCAGGTACCTGACAGCCATCTTCTGTTTCTTAGCCATCAAATCACCCTTCCTCACTAACAAATTTAACCGGAATATGTACAAACACTGCATGTGTGTGCATGAATGTGTGACTAGCGTTTGTGCATAGAAACAACTCTGTGTTTCTGTATACACATGTATCAGGATTTTAGATACATATAAAGGATAAAATGCTAAGATGTCACGGACGTAGTTCAAGACATTCAAAACCTATCTACATTTAAAGATAAATCAAGACACCATGAATGGGAAAATGGTAATGGTATTTTCTCAGTTTTAAAATAATTAATTTTAAAGTTATTCTTGCCAGTGAATCACAGGCTTCTTTTATTATCTGCTGGGTATTATTAATACAGTTACGGCAATACTGACATCTTTTTAGAAAACTGTGGTTTTAAGACATGACAAACCAACCTCACAGGAGTGCTGCATGAATCAAATTAATAAGCATCGAAAAACATTATTACAGGCACTATATTGTGCTAAGTGTTAATTAGAGTACCAAGCGGTTAAATATTTTACAGTGTTCCAAAAGACTCCTGTTATCAGAGACACAAATCACCCTGTATTAAACGTACAAAAGTAGCTGCTAAAGCATAAATTAGATGCGTGACCTAGTTCCAACAGCATCCTTTGCCAATCAGACGAACCGTGGGAGAACAACCCCAAGTTAGAACTTCCATCCCATCCCTTGTCCCTGAGGCTAATCTACCGCTCACCTGCCCTATACAAATAACCCACTTAAGATTTATTTCACAGGAACAAGTAAGCTGTTTGCAATACTATTTTACTCTCTGCTCCAGCTCTTTTCCACTAAAAAAAGCACAAAGAGCTGGTGAGGAGTGAAAGCCTCTGGTGCAATGATCCCGAGAGTCTCCAATGCACATTTTGTATTTGCACTTCTCTTCAAGAAACCCAGACTCAGCTACATGTAACACCTTGGATTTCTACACAGTCTGACATACAACAGTCAGTGAGAGTCTCTGTACACCACTTTGCATGGCACTCTACAACTAAATAGGCAGAAATTCTAGAACAATTTTTGAAATCATTTTCCTGAGCAGTTTGCAAGCACTTTTCAGAACCTTCACTTTAACTTTTCCACCTAGTTCCTTACAGTAAGTTTATAATCTAGATTTTCTTGTGCTTTACACATATGTCCTTGTGAGAGTCTACAGTACTACACTGAATTATTACATCCCAGTCCGTTGCATTTGATGACAATATGCTCTAGGATATCCACAGTTACATGGAAGAATGACTCCAATGCATATGATAATTTTAAGACAGTTCTTTTCTGTCTTACCAGCATTGTTTATTTTCTGTTTGTTTATTCAGACAGATGTAGTTAGCTATCTGTATCCTCCTTAAGCAAGGTAGTGTGTGAGCTTGCCACTAGCATCAGTATGACATTCAGTGAGTAAAGAGCTATTTATTCCCTATCAAGGCAAAAAGTGAAGAGATTACATAGGTTTCTGAGAGAAGCATCCCAATCCCAGCTGTGACACATAGGATGCCAGATGTTTAAACCCATCACACCACAGTCCGTTTCCTACACACCTCCATAAACCACAGGGAAAAGACCAGCGGGATGTGGATTCACCGCAGTGCCGTTCCCTAGGGATGCAGAGGTCGGGACTAGGAAACTCTGACCCAACTCACAAAATTGGGATTAGGAAACTCTGACCTGACTCAAGCCTTTCTGCAGGCAGCTCCTTCAGAAGCCCCACCGCCCTCCCTGCAGAAATAGGGGCCAGCGGTGGTAGGGACTGAGTGACACCCTGTGGTGATGGAAAGGAAATACGAACCCCTAAATCACAGCCCACCTCCCCATGGCCCTCTGGATTGTCAAACCAACCCCAGCGGAAAAGGTCAGGGAAGATTTTGCCCACCCCCGCCTGCAAGGGCAAACAGCCAAGGAAAATCCCAAAGGAGGATGCGGGTGGGAAGGGGATGGCGGTGCACTTCCCAGTCCTGCCCGGAGGAGAGCTCTGATCTACCCGGCACCTCTACCCCAATAGGAAGTTTTAAAAAAATAACCATACAAAGAAAGCGGCTTAAAAGAGGTATTTACACATTCTGGAAATTTAAAAAGAGACAGGCCACCAGCATGGGGTTTTACAGGATAACTCATCCGGCAGCTGCCATCGTCCTAGAGGTGCTCGCTCAGGATTCAAGAAGAGAGCAACTGAAATGACTGTCCGCAAGTGAAGGCACCTGGTCTGGAAATAGCATCAAGCTGGTGTTTTTCTTTCACACGGGGTGGGATTGGGGGAGATACTGGTGCTGATGGTTTGTCAGGACTTGCTACACCTACAAGAGCATTATCCTACATTATGAGATATCTTAATTAACACTTACTTCCTTTAATCCACAGAAGGGCCTAAGCCTAAATTCGTTAGATTGTCTCACACATGTTTAAGTTAAGAGCTTGTATCGACTAGGAGTGCATTTGTCTCCTTGCTCAGTCCTGTCCCAGTGCAGAAACACTTGGCCTCCTAAAAAAAAGTCGTGATCAACCAACCATCTGTTCTGGTCTAGTTGCTTGTGTAAAAACCACCTTTTCGGGCTGAAGAGTCCCAGCCTTCCACTGAATACCTCAATTAAAAATATAATTAAAAAGTTACAGTCGATCCTTCTAAAAATAAACATAAAGAACTAGAGCATATACAGAAAAGAAATAAGGTGGCATTGAAGGTGCCTAGGGCTACAAGTTTGCTACCACAGTTTGAGTTTCAATCGTAACGAGTTCCCAGGCCATAGAGTGAACAGAAGACGTATTATCCTTCTCCCTCGGTAACTGATGATGGACACTTTTTTCCATGGGACTGATAAGAAACCTCCTCTCCACCAGCATTTACAGCCATATTTGCAATTTTGTGACATCACCAGGGAAAAATAAAATGATACAGAGAAGAGTCTTTCGGTTTTTGTGTTCAGCTGTAAATATCAGCTAACCAGGTAACTGTGCATCTCTCTGGAGTTGATGCTCAAAACCACGCCTGAGTGATTGCCTACAAAAATACAGAAACAAAAGGCCAGCATTAGTGTATTTCAGGCACTTCACAATAAATCCCCCTTTTATTGCAGGGACAAGTCAATCGCATAAAGAGAGTGGCTTTATCAAACAACAGGTCAGGTGAAGGTTGGTGCAACAGCTCCATGTACCTACAGCATACTTTTGCGCAAAGCTTTTGCTCATGGTGGTGGATTTGTGGCGAATTCCTAGGGTTTCTATCCCAGTGACAGCATAAGTTGGTTCTCTTTGTGGCTTAAAAAGGTGTAGTTGTCTCGAGGGGTGCAGGTGAGGGAGGAGAATGGAACCTGAGGCGTCCATTCGACATGCCACTGACCTGGGACTGGACACTGACCGGCATCAGCAATAGGGGAACTCTGTAGCTGTTCAAGTTGCCACTTCTCCCAGAAGGAGTCACTGCAAGGTAATGGTGTTGAGGAGTCCCAAGGTGGGGGTTGCGATAAAGTAGGCAACATAAAATATATAGAAAACAAAAAAAGTGGATGGGTGAGTCTGGAAATACTGTACTGTGGAAATTCAAAAGTTATGAGAAGAGAGAGAACAAACAGAAACCCAGGCCTGTAACTCCTTGCTGTGCATGGAGCAGAGGCTGCTACTGACATCTCCCATCAGGGAGGGAGAAAGCTCACCAGAACTAGAAGGGATCTCCATAGCATAGGAATCTTCTGCAAATAATGTTGTAAAACAGAATTTAATATAAAGCAGGGATTACAACATGTTTCATACTCTGGCCAGATAAAATAGAGGAGTATCATTAACAGGAGTATTTTCTTGGCAGTACTGAGCAATACCGGAGCTAGTGGAAAGTATTGCAAGTAACAAAACAGCACAGCGAGCAGAAGTATAGTTTTATGTCTTAAATAAAGTCTTGTGTCTAAAAGCTGTACAGTAGCTGACAAACATGGATGATTATGATCCACAGAAATGAACTCTTTACGCTCTGCTGGAAATGCTGCTGGTGTTGACAACCTGGCAGAAGCACAAATCACCTCAAGATCTGCGTTTGCTAACCGTCTTAAGTTTCACATCAAAACATCATGGTCTTGCACTCTTTAACCCTAATAATGTGCTGCCCAGATAGAAGAATTTTTTTTCCTCTTGAGTAAGGAGTGCAGGGCAAATAGAGATTATTTCTGAATGCGTTACAAATCAGGGTAGCATTTCTTTATTCCAGCATCCCAAGCTGCCTTATATAAATAGGCCATAAGGGATTTCCTACCATTAAAAGAAGTTATGCTTTTGTACATTACTAGAGGTGTTTGAATGCTTCACTTTAACAGGCATGTCTGCAAGGATTTTTTTAGCATTCAGCCTTCTCCTCTAAAGACCCTGGAGATGAGTTGATCAAACAATTCTAACATAGACCTTGTTTTTCCAGGGTTGTTTTTAGAACTAACTCCGGTAAAGTCAGGAGTGCAATCAAGGTCGTCTTGCAAAATCTGAATGAAAACACAGTGATACTCATACACAACACAGTGATACTCATACACAAAGGTTGTCAAAGAAAAGACAGAAATACACAAAGCAAAGCAAGAGGCTGGCTTCTTCCCTTGTACTCAAAGCTAACACCTCCAAGAACCTAGAAGTGGCACATGGTTCAGCAAATGAAAATAAAGACATCGACAACAAACGATAAAGGTGAAACCCAAGATAGAGAAATCTCTCCTCTGACAAAGTTCTGTCCTTCCCCAGGCTACCTCTGGTGCAGCTAAAACACATCTTCTTTCGTGGGTTCATGAAGACGTTACAGTTGCGTGTTACACCATGAATCTACTGTTACAAATCCCAAAGGCTTTGGGTTATCTGATTTATTTTCACAAAATGTGTAGAAATGGAACTGGAGAGCATTTTCTATTGTCCTGCACTTTTCAGACTGTGACCTGAAAGCAGTCTGAACAGAATAGTAAACTTTACAAGAAATGAACTTTATAGATCAGCACTCCATGTTACATTAAAAATAACCACAGGGTGCCAGGATATACACCTCCACCTAACACTGAAATAATTTGCACTGAGAGATATCGACAGAAAGTTTCCCTCACGGGTTCCTTATGACCACCCCATGAATACTAGAAAGTTACCAGCTAAATTAGGGAAGACTTACGATACTTTTTATACAGACATTAATTTAATGTTTCTAATCACAAAAAATTTAAATGCCACTGGAATACGATGGCAAATATAGCAGCGGATCTAGATACAATCCATCTGAAATCATGGAAACATTGACTCTACAAATCCTTCTGGCCTAAACTCCATTTTCCACTAATTCAGGGGATTATTAAGTTAATTGAACTGTTACCTATTATATCCTGTTCTGCCAAATACAATTTCTCTCTAAAATTGTCCAAGTCAGTCTCCTGACATTAAACTGTACTATCTGTGTACTCATGCTCTATATAGCATGTCATACATACATACATTAGCCTGTATCACAAGCAAGTCAAAAGAAGATAACTGAGACAATCCTTTGTTAGTGGTGTACTATTTGCTTCTTCTTGAGACTGAGCAGAAAATGAAAAAAAGCTAAAATGAAAACAAACATCAATTAAAAATAAATTACTTATGAAAGTTTATAAACTAAAAATGAAGTTACCTCTTGCGTTACCTAGTGTTTGAGAGTCCAGATCATCATCAATAAACTCCTCACCCTGGATGATGTTCTGGGTGTCCTCACTATGATTAACAGGGCTCGTCATCTCCTGCTCCTTTTCGTTGTGCATCTGGGCATAGACATTTCTGCCTGGCAGTTTCCTAAATCGGACAAGGAGAAAAAGTCTTGTGATGGAGTTCCTTTGTGTCGCACACACACTGGCATCAGAGCAGAGCTTCAGTAGAGCAAAGTTGCACCAGAATCACAAAATAGTACCCACCCTTCCTTAATTTTGTGTTCACAACCTAAACTTAACAACTCCTTATTCTTAGTCGCAGTTTTATGTAACTGCCTTATCACATGTTCATACCAAAGTAATAATTAAGCATCAATTTCTTGACTAAGATTGACAGACAATGAAGAATACTAAAAAAAATACTAAAACCCCAGAAAAGCTATTGTTAAGAACTCAAGCAATAAAAAGGCCCAACAGGCATTCATTCCTGATTCCAGGTGTCTTCACAAACATTAAGCTGGGTCACAGCCATCATCTCTCGTGAGACCCCACCTGGAGGACTCTGTTCAGCTCTGGGGCCCCCAGCATAAGACAGACATGGACCGGCTAGAGCAGGTCCAGAGGAGGGCCACGAAGATCATCAGGGGGCTGGAGCATCTCCCCTATGAGGACAGGCTGAGAGAGCTGGGGTTGTTTAGCCTAGAAAAGAGAAGGCTCCAGGGAGACCTTATAGCAGTACATAAAGGGGGCCTACAGGAAAGATGGGGAGTGACTCCTTATCAGGGAACGTAGTGACAGAACGAGGGGTAATGGTTTTAAACTGAAAGAGGGTAGATTTAGATTAGATATTAGGAAGAAATTCTTTACTGTGAGGATGGTGAGACAGGTTGCCCAGAGAAGTCGTGGATGCCCCATCCCTGGAAGTGTTCAAGGTCAGGTTGGATGGGGCTTTGAGCAACCTGACCTAGTGGAAGGTGTCCCTGCCCATGGCAGGGGGGTTGGAAATAGATGATCTTTAAGGTCCCTTCCAACCCAAACCATTCTATGATTCTATGATCACAACTCCCTGGTGAGGTGGGTGATAGCATCGAATAGCGCACTCATACTCCATCAGGGTTGAGGAGAAGAAGCAGGAGAAATCCAGGAGACAGGGAATGGAAAGGGAGCAAAGAGTGAGGAACCAGGAGGTCAGGAGCAAGGACTAAGGAGGTAACAGGCATCAATAAGGGCAAATAACAAGACAGGGGAGGTTAGTGAAGTTAAGCAGGCAGCACTGAAGGAGACAGAGTGTAAAGCTTGGCCCAGGACTACTGGGAATTGCTCAATTAGACAAAACTTTCTATAGCTGACAGCATTTAACTCATTCATTCTGATTTGAATCTAGAAAAACAAAAAGCATGTTATTAAATGGCTCTATCAGCTCTAATGGACAATTAGCACCATGGCTGAGCCTGGGAGGCTTAAGAGTGAGTATTGATAAAGAGTTCTTAACTAGATTAACTTAAATTAGACTTTGTAAAATCAAAGGGAATAATCAGGGACTTCTAGCTTTTGCAACAGAATTTATGGTTTCAACACTTCTAGAGAGCCATATCCTTTATTGTAGCTGCATTCACCTGCAATCTGCCTGGTACATAAGGACATCCTTTCCTAGGCACCAAGCAGACATTTCTCATTAGGGAGTTGCAGGTTGTGAGCTCCATTTCCCACACTGCAAGGAGCAGCTTGACAGCTTGATCAGCATGACAGCAGATCATGGCTGTCAACGTCTGTGCTTAAACATAGATTATTGCATTGGGCAGACAACAGAAGAAAAGAGAAAATGGGTTGAACTGCTGAGACTGGAGTTTCTGCTGAGCTCCTTTAGACAGTGAGAAGATACAAAAAGTGACACTAATTTTTAGGTACCTCTCTAAAAACGACCATCTTCTGCTCCATATTCTGGCAGCAGTATGAAAGCTGGATAAATACACAGGTTGCTCTGTTTTCTCTAGGCTTTTGAAGATGACCTGCCTTTAAATGTCATTTCAGAAGAAAAGTTCTTTACCAGGTGGCACCATTTAGTTTGAGATAAAAGTTACTGCAGCAAACTATTTTGAACAGCACCTTTCATTGCATCAAAGTAATTAGAATAAATAGAAATTGCTAAACAATGAAAGACAACTGAAGAGGATCTCCTCCCTTTAGTTTGAACTATCCAAGAGATGAATTGCATCCTATATACCTATGTGCACACACACACACATCTGTATAGGTACGTCTATACACACACACACAAAATTATATATACACAGAAATCAAGTATTTTATCCCACTATCTATAAGCAGCACAAAGAAAGAAATCTGATTGCTCTTGCTTTTTTCTGTATCTCAGTGAGCATGGAGTAAATAAAACACAGGACTAACCTAATGCAAAGGACAAGGATGGAAAGAAGGTCTGACAGCACAACGCTGTGCTATTATGACCACTTCAACAGGTCCGAGGGTTCCTCCAACACAAACATACATATAAAGCCAAGTCCTGCTTCACTCTCCTCCCATTAACTGGATGAAGAAGCCACATTGAAAGGGGGAAGGACATTCCTCATTACCAAATACATTAGGTAATTAATTTTGATTTTTTTTCTCTAGGGCCAGTAACTCCAGACTGTTTTTAATGTGTCTGCTAGTGAAACTGGTCATGTGGAAAACAGTATCCCTCTCAATCAGACCTGCATCAAATCTGTCAAATTGCTCACTTTCAGTCCACCACCAAATGCCTAAGGGAAACAAAACCCAGAAGAATGTCTTTGCAACACATCTGCAGAATTAGCACATATGTTTCTGCAATAATTGGGGGACCTTCTCAAAACTGTATTTCTGACAGATTGTAGAAGCATCAATGACATTATCAAAATATTTTTGACATAATAAAAATGTTATCCATCTCAAACCCACATGGCACATCAGATCTTTGCAGTTAAGTAAAGGGAGCAGAGCTGCTAGTCTCTGGTAAGAGTTACCAGAGTAAGTCTCTGGTAAGACTTACTAGTTGGAGATCACCACAATCACAACACATGCTATTAAACATATTCAGGGATTCCTGAATGAAGAAACCTCACAAGTTCACAAATAACCATGAAACGTATTGTTGTTAAGAGCACTTCTTTATGGATTATGGATAAAAGGAGAAAAGGTGTAAGCTGTTATTTCTCACTCACCTAAACCTCATGAGCCCAATCCTGCTACATACAGATCCTTCGTGGAAGGTATAAAGTTGAGGTATTCCGTGACTCTTCCGTACTTTCCTTTGCTCCTCACACTTACAGAGGAAAGCATCTTAGATTGTAACACAGAGTATGGATGCGAGGAAGGAGAATATTACAGGTCTTGTGAAGGCATACGCTGCAGGCATTTGACCTTTTATACATTATAGAGATCTCTACGTGTTTCATATTGGTTCAGTTTTACAAGGAAGAGACTCAACCAGAGTGAAGAAAATTATATTCCAAGCCTTTTCAAGAGGCATTTTTAACACATGTGCCAGATGTTCAGTTTATAAGGGACAACCGCACTGTGGGATGAAACAGGATGTGGATACTGAATCCTTGCTAAAGATGGGCCTGATTCTGGCAATTTTCCAGTCGCTCCTCACTGCTCTAATGTAGGAAGGAAGCTGCGACCCCTAATTATACAGAGAGAAACTCCTGTGTACCCTGATGTGCTTTGGTCTTCTTAAGGAAGCAATTTATGTTGAGTCCAATGTAACTGTTTGAAGTAGGCAGAGCTGAAATGCTTGGGTCTACATAAAAGACTACTGTGAAAACACGACAAGACATGAAATTTGACCCAAGAGATTTATATCAGCAATACAAAAATTGAAAGCACATTTATAAGAACAGAGAAAAAGATTATGCAATAGTTTCTTTTGGGGGTTTACTCTTCAGCTGCAAAATGCATGTGCTTCACATCCATCACTGGAGACAATTACCTCTGCTGAGCAGCACTCCATGGTTTACATTTTTAGTTTCTTTTGTTTTCTCTGCAGCATTTTATTTCAATCATGAAGAAGACAAAATATTCATGCCTGCTTTGAGGACCATGAAAATATGAACTGGAGGCTTAATTCTACACAGAACTACTAACGAACATCACAGCACATGGCTTTCACCAAGCTCTCCAGGTCCCACATCTTTCAGAAGATATTCCAGAAAGTATTTTTTTTCCTCCTTATATTCACAAATTCTAATCAGTTCATACCCTGTTTGCACTGTTTGCACTTAAAAATGTTCAGCAGTAAGGAACAGCAGGAGGGGGATGAGATATTGATTCCCACTCATTTAAACTCTCTAGTTTATTTGGCTTTCAATTCCTTCCTTGTGGAGCCAATATTCATTGGCCTTTATGCAACTCCATTCATTTTCCAGAGGCTTGATTAAGATTCTCTTTAGTATAAAAAATAGGAACGTATTCACATGGCAAAGGATATGGAATAATGTAGCATTCTCTTGGAACTTAAATAAAACTAACAACAATAATAATCCATTAAATAGAATACTTTATTGTGGTGTTGGCTTTATTATGTTTGGATTAATGTTCAGATGACTGACTTCTTTGTGCTTTAAGGCACTCCTGATTTACTTGCCTCTTTCATTTCAGAAATCTTTTCTACATGCTATTACTTTGATTTCTGAGGAAGTTTTTATGAAGTATTGTGGGTCATTAAATTAGTGCCTGTTTTTTTATAAGTATATGGCATGGATTGGGACTAAACTTGCTCTCATGGAACATAAAATTAGTATAAGCAAGGTGGGGAAAAAAGATAGCTTTTCTTCAGAGACTGAAAATGAGATAGTAAGTCAATGAGGCAGAAAGATAACACAGTTCTGCTCCAGATTGTGGAAATGACCCAGGAGGGGGTCCATTTACCAAAAGTGGCTCTTGATAGTAGTGGGGGAAAAAAAGGAATACACACAAAATAGTATAAATTTAGCTGAAGTAGATTCACAGCAATTTGTGAAAACAATGTATGCAGCTTTAAGCACACTGGCAGTAGTTTGCATACAAATTAAAAGATGATTTTCATACTCTTTTAGAGAATCAAATTCGCTACTATTAACCAGGTAAAATACCTAAGCAGAAAAGCCAGCTGTTTGCTCTGGTTTGGCTACTCTAACATCCTGTTTTATACAGAAGTAAAAAATAAGAAAAGGATGATTTCAGATCTTCCACTAGTAACATGATGATTACATGGCAGCTTTGATATGGCTAAAACGTAATTTTCCTTTCCTCCACTTTGCCTCGTGCAGACAGTGCTATTTGCCTTCTCCACACTGTTGCCCAGGACCCCACGCCATAGAAGCTTGCTCTGAAAGGATGAAGTTGTCTTTTCTGAATGGCAACTTGAAACCCACAAAAAATATAAACATTGTTTCAAAGGGAATGGAAGGAGTGTGTTTTTACTGAACCAAATTTAGTAAAGATGGTATGGTACAGAAAAACTATATGCAGGTCCCAGATTTGCATTAAAAATAGACCTGATTTCTCAAAAATATTTTCCAGCTGCTTCATATTGGTCGAAAGAAGCAGCTGTAGTCCATTTTACCTGGATGCTTAAAGAACTGAAGCATACTAGTGAGTATTGTAACACATTGTTTGCTTGAGGCATCCGATCGGTTATTTCCATTCTCAGAAAGTAAGAGCAAAGAAAAGGCAAATTATTCTTGGCTTGCCCACCATCCGTGTTCGTCGTCTGCCTCTTGTGCCACAGCCAGATTTAGCAGCTCTTGCTCCTTGCTGCCATGCTGAAAATCCCCCCCCAAACTATCTAAACCGATTTTTGTTCATTTGTGGGATACGGGTTTTTAAAACCATCAGCATTTATCATTTAAAATTTACTTTTCATTTACTGGGTAAAAATAGCCCTAATTTGAATTGCTTGCCTGCTCTGATCATAAAGGATCAAAACCCTGCGTGTCTCAAGACACTTTGGCTTTTATTTTTTTTGTCTAAAGCAACTAAGCACTCTCGGGATTGCCAGGACTCGCTCCACAAGCTCCAGGGACTCCAGCACCAGTTTTTCAAGCACCGGCGAGAAGCGGCTGGATGCACAGATAGGCCATTAGGTAAAGGGGGAGGGAGACGAAATGATAAATGCTTGCAATTTTACTGCATGTAAGAACAGAGGGCAGCAGTCTTCCTAGTCAGTGTTTAAGTATTTGGGATTAGGGCATATCAGAACCGATGTAACCTACAGTCACCTAATCATTAGCTAGACAGCCATGACAGCTCTGATTATCCAGCAGACCCTACAATTTTAGTTTTGATTAGAGTAGTGGGAAATTATACAA